AAATCTCTAATAATTAAATAGATTTTTAAAAAACACAAAAAACTCATGTCTTCTCAATCATAATAATTTATTTTAGATAATAAATAGTAATCAGATTAATTCCCTGAGTTCTTCTGTAAAATATCTTTTCAGGTTTTGGATCAGTCATCTTCTTTCATCTTCATATTTCTGACAGTACATAACAGGCTGTACTGTCTCTTCTTACCCACAGTGATCACATCTCTGTATTATGTTTGCATATTTTGAACAGTAAATCCAGGTCTTGATATTATTATTTCTTCTCTCCTTCTTGTACGTCTCATTTCTCTGAATCCCCTTTGAATTCTGTCAACCCTTTAAAATCTGGAGTGACATCACTTTTCTTGAGCTGTGTATTTAAGCTTTAAACTCTGAGCAAACTGGTGCGATTTTTGGGGGGTAAAAAATTAACAGATGAATAATGAGCAATGAGCAACTTGGTGAAAAATGTCCAAATATTGCAAAGAAATAAATACATGAATTAATTAATATAGAATTTTTTTTAAATTTTTTTTTAATTTTGTTACATAATTATTATAATTCTTAATTTGATTAAAAAAGTTTTTATAAGCACTCCTTCCAGTTCATTTCCTTGTTTTGTTTTTTCTAACAAATTTTCTTGTTTTTAATTTTCTTTTTTCTCATTTGTTATTTTTTGGGGTAATTTCTTCCTTCATTGCTCATAGCCTTCACCCCATGTTTGTTAAAGAAATCAAGCCGATTCTAAACCACCGTCCTTTCCTCTCTTCCTCCCAGTGTTTCCCCACCTTTCCTTCAGTCTCTGTTTAATCACACTCCTGATTTATGTTGTTTTTTTCTCTGGAGCCAAGTGTCCTATCAATAGTTATTTTTCTGTCTTCTCTGCTCCCTTATCTGCCGTTTTATGTCCTTTCATACCAACATGCAGCAGTTACTGTTGCTATAGCAACAGAAAATAATAATGAAAACGCTAACAGGATGTAAACAGGCGTTACAGTGAAACCAAAGAATGAACACGCAATAGACGCTATAAAACTGTGGAGCTGATCCTGAGGAGTGTCTGAGCTTTAGTAGTGAGACTGTGACAGGAGCAAAGACCAACACCAGGAACTTTAATCCCACTGCAGAGTCTACAAACTATTTTTATTAAAGGCTGAACTCATCTGATGATATGGACATTACAATCCTCCACACAGAAACAAACAGGCTTCAACTCAACTTCTGTCTCTGTACCTCCAACATGAGTCAAAAAGAAGAAGAGCTCCGCCCTGCTCAGCCTCCGTCTTTATACAGGTGGAGCTCAGGAAGAAAAACTCAGCTGTCTTCTACATGTGGACAAACACAGGACACATGCAAGACACTGGATAAGACATCAAATATGTTACACATGATAACATACATCATATTAATCTGGTATTTAAGTTGTTGATGATGCTCAGAGCTCAGAAGACTTTGGTGTCCTGATGTCATCAACAGGAGCAAACAGTCTGAGCTGGAAACCTGAACATTGTGGAGGGGTTTTCATGTCCCTGTCATACTGGGAGCTGTGGTGTCCCAGCCGTTGCTCCTGGTCGGGTCTTGAGAGGCAAAGTGGTCCAAGGGGAGGGGCCAGACTAACAGTGAGTCAACAGACCCTGATGGATCAGACCTGGAGCACCTCGCCATGACAACACAAACAGAGCCCCCTTCTGGAGGCAGGCTAGAGAGGGAAGCTGCACACGGGACCAAAAATCAGTCAAGTCACTAAACATTTCATTCAGCATGTTGAGTCAGCGTCTGAGACTGCAGAGCCTGTCTGTGACAGAGGTCTCAGGCTGATGCAAATACTTTGATCACAGCCATGGTAAGAGGCATCAATATCAGCTTTCAAATGCTTATTTGGTCAATCAGCCTATATATATCTACATGGACTTGACTCATGGGGCTCGGTGGGGCACAGTCCCAAAGATCAACATGGAGTCACCATCCTGTGGGCTCACCAGTCGCAGAGATACGCTTCAGGGTCGGGTGCATTGTGAGCTGCAACATTGCCCCGGACAGTTGCATGAGTGATTGTGAAAAGTTTGTGTTCAGCTCTCACACACGGGAGCCCTACAGGGAGGAATCTGGTGGTCCAACATAGGGTTACAGTTGAAATAAAAAACAGATAAAAATAATCAAAGACAAAAGTAAGACATCAACACAGCTATCAGGGCATGGGGAGGAAGCAGTAGGAAGATGTTTGCCTGGCCCTGAAAATGTCCAAAACAATGCAGGGTAAACACATTTGTGGGCTTTAATGTCACTACCGACATTGGTCACATCAGGACGGGTTCTCTCTGGTGTGAACATGGTGGATTTCTAGGTCATACCGTTCAATAAAAGCTTTCTCACACTAGTCACAGCTGTACGGGTTCTCTCCTGCATGCCGGCATTGGTGGGTTCTCAAAGTACTGCACCGGGCAAATAATCTTCCACATTGATCACACCAGTACGGTTTCTCTCCTGTGTGAATACGTTGGTGGTTTTTTAAGGCCCCTGACTGTGTAAAGGCTTTGCCACATTGATCACAGCTGTAGGGTTTCTCTCCTGTGTGAATACGTTGGTGGTTTTTTAAGGCCCCTGACTGTGCAAAGGCTTTGCCACATTGATCACAGCTGTAGGGTTTCTCTCCTGTATGAATACGTTGGTGGATTTTTAAGTCCCGTGACTTTGCAAAGGCTTTGCCACATAGACCACACCTGTTGCGTTTCTCTCCTGTGTGACTGCATTGATGGGTTGTCAAGTTACTTAACTGTGTGAAAGCTTTGCCACATTGATCACAGCTGTACGGTTTCTCTCCTGTGTGAATTCTTTGGTGAGTTTCAAGGGACGTTCGTTGTGAAAAAGTTTTCCCACATTGGTCACAGCAGTGCGACTTCTCTGCAGTGTGAACACAGTGGTGACTTTTTAAGCTACGTAGAGTGGTGAAAGCTTTCTCACATTGATCACAGCTAAACAGTTTCTCTGCTGTGTCAATGTCTTGTTTTTTTGAGCTCCCTGACTCTGTGAAATCCTTCCCACTTTGGAAAAAACTGGACAGTTCCCCTTCAATGTGAATGCGTTGATGGGCTTTGAGGGCACTGCAGCGCAAAAATGTTTTCTCACAGTGGTCACAGCTGTATGGTTTCTCTCCAGTTTGAACTCTTTGATGAATTTTTGAAGATCCAGATGTTGTGAAGGATTTGTCACGGTGGTGACGTATAAGTTCCTCTCTTCCTCTCTGTTCCTATAGCAACAAACAGAAAAAGAGTTAATGAGTTGTCACGGTGCAGCGAGCCAACTAAAACCATAAATAACATTTAAAGCATGTCTGCCAAACATAACCCACAATGTCTGACTAATGCATTACCACCAACAAATGTTATGATAAATAACTTACAGAATAGTTTTTATTTAGGTTTTGACTTTTTGATAGGAATTGATACCAATACTACTTATCAATGCGACTCTCACTGATACTTCTCTCCATAATTTAGTGGTTTAGTGGTTTTGGGTTGGACCTGAGATTCTTGACTTGTGCTCATGTCTCCCCCATGACTGTACAGGCTAACCGCCACACCAAAGTCTTTTCTCATTTTCTTTAACTATTTATCAGTTACTTTTCATAACCCACATAAACCATTTGTCATAAATTGGATCCACTGCGCAGCACTTATCCACAAAGACAATGTGACTCTTAAAGCTGGTCTCCCTGTTGCTCCCATTATTTCCTTCTTCCAAAACAGTGGTGGTGAAGAACACCAGCAGTTAATGTCAGGAGTTGAGTTTCCATTTAAACAAAATTATTATGACTGCTGTGCCAAATTAATCCGAGCACACTAGGGTTGCCAAGGTGTGAGATTTTCATGGTACGATAACTGTCTAAAAATATAATGCATTTGAGGGTATTACAGAATTTATATTATGATTAGTGTGAATGATCCTTAAAGGAATGAAAACAAAATGGTTACTGTTGGTTGAACAGACATTTTATTACTAAGATTGTAACTTGAAACCATTTTGTTGATGTATATCGAGTCCATATATTATCCATATATTATCATCCAATAATGGGACATTTTAATTATCACACGAGGCCAGACTGCTTTCATTGACTTAACAAGGGCAGCATCTACAAACCCGACACAGTGTGTGGCGCTACATGTACCTTTAAACTTGCTTTGTGAGCCGCCAATAAACACAGAGAAGAAGAAGAACAACTAGGTTGACTAGAGTGACTAGAGTAGATATTGGCTGATAAAACATTAAAAACTGATCATGGTGGTTGAGTCGTCCAGCAGCTCCCGCCGGCTGCACATTGGCTGCAGCATTTCCTACATTGATTATGGGTGTTGTAGTTTTTAAATTGTGTACGGCAGTGGCGAAGAAGTAGATGAAGAGAGCGCAAGCAGCAGCCATGAGGACAGGGAAAGTGCAGACAGCCACGAGAAGGAGTGATTTGCACGTTACAGTGCAGCCTCTTGCTCTAACTGTTCAATACTGTTCTACAAATTTGTTCTACAAACTGATACGGCTGTAACGAACGTACCAGGCATCTTTTATTTTGTAAGCTTTTATTTTTTGAGTTTAAAGGACAAGTGCACTTGCATTGATCACTTCCATAAAATAAAACAAGAAATTGGAAAAAAGGAAAAGATTGAAAAAATTGCTAAAAGTAAATTTGGGAACTGATCACAGATGTATTGTCTCTGTGTGTTTTAACATGTATTGTTACTTTAATTTGTAGCTATGCTTTAAATGAAGCTCACATCATGACATTCACCCCCTGCTTTATAGACACAGCGCTGAAGGACCGTCTCCAGAGTGTTAGCACGAGCTAATTAGCAGCAGCAGCTAACATCCAACACCGAGCTTTTAAAAGGCTCGCCTCTGTAGTTAAACATATTAATAACCGCTCGCCATGTGGTGCTACAGTTAGACATTATTTGTATCGTTACCTCTCTGACTGCGTGTGTGTGTGTCTGAGCTGAGTGTTAATGTGTGAGGTGAATCAACAGTAGCTGTAGGCTGGTGTATGATGGGACGTTGAGATGGCGCCTGGGCGTGACGATATAAACATGTGATCCAGCAGATGTAAGGCGGAGCTGCTGATGTTGATGTTTATCAGCTGTGAGTGTCTGTCTGTTAGTAGAGACTCCACTCTGCAGTGTAGTTTATACAGAGAATTACACAGTAACACTGTTCTTCATCATCATCATCATCATCATCGTTTTCAGAGTTTTTGTCTGATTTTATTTAAAAGTTAGATAAACTTCTGATCCGTGGGGACTTTAATATTCATGTTTGCTGTGCAGCCAATCAGCTGGCTAATGAGTTTAAAGGCCTCTTGGAGTCCTTCAGTCTCACTCAAGCAGTCAATGGTCCAACACATGGGCACACTCTTGACCTTATAATTTCTCATGGGCTTCCTGTCTCCCTCAGAGATATAGTGGACACTACTATCTCCAATCATCTCCCCATTATTTTTGACTTTGCTGCTCCCCCACCTGCCAACAGGCCTGTTTCCCCTGCTCGCTGCCACCGCATCTTTACCTCATCAACGGCTGGAGAGTTTGCTGCTGCCTTCAAGGACTCTCAGCTGTATGGTGACAGTGGGCTGGTTTCTCCCCTTTGCCCAGATAGCCTGCTCTCTGCTGACAGGCTGAATGGCGGTGGAAGAAGGACAAATTACATGTTTCCTTAGGCTTGTTAAGGGACAGTTTGGCTGCTTATCAGAGATCTCTGAAAGAGGCACAGTCTAAATATCTGTCCTCTATCATAGCTAACAGCTCTCATCATCCAAGGGTGTTATTTAACACTATAAACTCTGTCGCCCAATCCCAAACCAGCCCCTATCCCCTTGCTCTATCCACTCCCCCTCCGTTTGGGGGCAGCAATGGAGAAGGCTCTGTCCCCCCAGGTTCTGTGCTTGGTCTTGGGGATGGTGAGAAGGTTGGCATTGGAAGAGCAGAGGCTGCCGGAAGGGGTGTAAGGGTGGAGCAGGTCTGTGAGGTAAGAGGGGCCTGATTGAGGAGGGCTTTATGGGTGAGTAGGAGGAGTTCGAAGTGGATGCATTGTGGAACAGGGAGCCAGTGGAGGTTCTGAAGGGCAGGGGTGATGTGGTCGCGGGAGCGGGTGTGAGTGAGGAGGCGGGCGGCAGAGTTTTGGATATATTGGAGTTTATTGAGGAGTTTGGAGGTTGTGCCATAAAGGATGATATTGCAATAGTCAAGGCGGGATGTAATGAAGGCGTGGATCAGGGATTCAGCAGCATTGCGAGAGAGTGAGGGGCGGAGGCGAGAAATGTTTTTAAGGTGAAAGAAGGCTGTTTTAGTGACTTGTTTGATGTGTTGGTCGAAGGAGAGGTTGCTGTCGAAGATGATACCAAGGTTGCGGCAGTGAGGAGAGGGGGACAGGGTTGTCGATGGTGAGGTGGAAGTCTTTGGCTGTTTGGGTGAGGGAATTTGGACCAATTAGGATCATGTCAGATTTGTCACAGTTGAGTTTAAGAAAGTTTACTTGCATCCAGGATTTAATTTAAGAGAGACAGTTTGACAGGGTGGAGTGGGTTAAATGGGTGATGGATTTAGTGGAGATGTATAGCTGGACATCATCAGCGTAGCAGTGAAAACAGAGACCATGACGACGGATGATTTGACCAAGGGGGAAGAGGTAGAGGATGAAGAGGAGAGGACCAAGCACCGAACCCTGGAGGACGCCTTGGGACAGGGGGGCAGTTGAGGAGGAGCAGTTGTTGATGAAGATAAATTGTTTTCTGTCAGTGAGATAGGAATGTAGCCAGGTGAGGACATTGTCAGTCATGTTGAGGAGGGTTTGCAGGCGGGAGAGAAGGATGGAGTGGATGATGGTGTCAAAGGCGGCGGTGAGATCAAGGAGGAAGAAGATGGAGAGTAGGACGGAGTCTGAGGAGAGGAGGAGGTTGTTTGTGACTTTAAGGAGGGCAGTTTTGGTGCTGTGTTGTGTGCGGAAGCCAGATTGAAATTGTTCGAAGAGGTCATTATTGTTGAGGTGGGATTTGATTTGTGAGGCGACGACACGTTCAAGGATTTTTGAGAGGAATGGGAGATTGGAAATTGGCTGGAAATTGCTCATGATGTCAGGGTTGAGACCAGGTTTTTTAATGATAGGAGTGACTGCAGCCAGTTTGAGTGAAGGAGGGGCAGAAGCAGAGCTGAGGGAGGAGTTGACAATTTTGGAGACAAGCGGGGAGATGGTGGGGAAGCAGTGCTTAACAATGGCGGATGGGATGGGATCTAGCATGCAGGTGGAAGTTTTCATGGTTGAAATGATTTTAGACAGCTCAGCTGGGGAGACAGGTGTGAATTTGGAGAGGGGCAGGGTGATAAGATGGGTGGAGGGGGGTGGTTAGAGAACTGTAGATGGTGTCAATTTTGGATTGAAAAACTGAGAGGAAGGAATTGCATTTTTCAATGGTGAATGAGTTTGAAATATTGTCACTGGGATTAAGGAGTTTGTTAACGGTGGAAAAAAGAGCCTTTTGGTTATTGGAGCCGGTGTGAATGAGGTTGGAGTAGTAGGTAGAGTGGGCAGTATTGAGGGTGGCTCTGTACTGTCGGAGGTGGTCTGTGTAGGCTTGGCGATGAACTGTTAAACCGGTCTTTTTATGTAGTCTTTTGAGCTGACGCTTGTGGGATTTCATTTGGCAGAGTTCGGGGGTGTACCAGGGGGCTGAGTGTGTGAATGAGACAGATTTGGTTTTGATGGGGGCCAGTTGATCAAGACAGGAGGAGGGAGTGTTGTTGTAGTAGTTGACAATCTCATTGGGGTCATCAGACAGCGGGGGAGGGAAGGTAGACAGAGTGTTGGAAAGAGAAGCTGAGAAATCTTGAGGGGAGATGGATTTGAGGTTTCTGAATGATATTATGCATTTGTTCTTAGGGAGGGGGGTGGGGAGATGAATGTCCATGATGATAGCCAGGTGGTCGGAGATGTGGAGATTGATGCTGGAGAGTTGTTGGATGGTGAGACCGTTGGAGCAGACTAAGTCCAAAGTGTGACCATGATTGTGACTGGGGAAGTTCACATGTTGAGTGAGATTGAGGCAGTCCAGTAGATCAAGAAATTCAGAGGCACGTTTGCAGTTAATGTTGTCAATGTGGTAGTTGAAGTCGCCGAGGAGAAGAACAGAAGGTGAGATGGCTGAGAGCTGTGTAACAAAATCAGAGAAGTCAGAGAGGAAAGATGGATTGGGCTTGGGAGGGCGGT